GCTCGCTGTATATCTGCTGCTGAACAGGACTAGCTTGTGTGGGTAATGATACGGACTGGTTTTTAAATTACCGTCTGAGAAGGTTAGCATCCCTACAGATCCCAGCCTGAGTCTTCACTGAACGCTTTAATGACATCACAGCACCTCGCACTGGCACATACCTGATACTGCAAGCTTGGAACGTTGCTTGTGTTCCGAATGGAATTCTAGTGTTGCCTACTGCATACTTTACATGTACTGCCTACTGTTAGTGTACTGCCTACTGTTGTTTATTTAGAAGTCTTATTCGAAACAAGATAAAATATCAATGTATTAACTGTAATAATGTGTAAAAATGTCTAATTTTGTCATATTTTTGTCATGCCAATCAAATGGATATTGGATAATGTGGTTCATTCATCACATTATAAAACAGACGTTCTGGAAGTTGAGTGTATTGCATTGTGGGATACAGTATTCCTTGCAGTGTGCTCTTGTTTTACTGCTGCATTTTTGGCCACTACCATTCAAAAGTATTAATTTTGTAATACTTATATTCAGCAAGGATGCATTAAACTGATCAATATTGACAGTAGAGACATTTATAATGTTGCAAAAGATTTCTATTTCAAATAAATGATGTACTGAAAATATGAAGCAGCACAACTGTTTTCAGCATTGATAATAGTAAGAAATGTTTCTTGTGCAGTAAATCATCATATCAGAATGATTTCTGAAGCATCATGTGACACTGAAGATTGCAGTAATCCAGTTTACCCCAGCACAGGAATAAATTACATTTGAAAATATATACAATTAGAAAACAGTTCTTTTAAATTTGAATAATATTTCTGTTTTTCTGTTTGTTTTTTTGTTTAAATAAATGCAGCCTTGGTGAACATAAGAGACTTCTTCTAGAAACGTGAAAAAAATATTACCAACCCCAAAATCTTGAATGGTAGTGGATAGGCAAAATCCCCATACTGTGCACAATATACATACTGCACACTGATGAAATAGTACACATAGTAATCCAAATTTGTTCAAAAAAGCAGGCCTATCATACTACTCCCACTATTTCTGCAGAATGCAGTATGTATACCATGTGCAGTACACAGATTTACTGTATGCATGACCTATTGCAGTACTGTATTTGTCAAATGTGTGGTGTACAGCACACTTGATGAAATACCGAATCCCACAATGCAATTCGGTTGACTCAACCTTCCATTTCCAATGTGATGAAAGCACAATAGTTCACCCAACAATGACAATTCGGGCATCATTTGCTTACCCTCAAGTTGACCTAAACCTGCATTTCAGTCTTCTGCTGAACACCAAAGAAGATATTATGAAAAATGTGTTCACAGTTTCTGGTCCCCGTTGATTTCAATAGTATTTTTTCAAACTATGAAAGTCAATGGGGACCAGCAACTCTTCAATTATACCATTTTCTTCAACAGAGGAAAGAAACTCGTTAAATTTGTATTTAGTTTGAACTATCCCTTTAACAATATCTGCTCACATTATTTGATCAGTCTTACAATAGTTAGAACCACTAGCTTTAATACAAAATTGACAAAAACCTTATTAAATTATTCAGCTGTCCTGCAGAATCAAACGCTCTTATCCGACGCTATGCCAAGCCATTAAATACTCTCTTTTATCCATGAGACCAAGCTCGCTTCACCCTCCTGGAGCTTTCAAAACAAGAGATATAGCCTCCTGCGGTCCCATCATCTGTCATCGCTAATAAAGCATGTCTGCTCACCAGGACGAAGTACTGTAGATCAAAACAACAACACAGTAAGAAATAACATATATATTTCATAACTTCATAACTTTCATAAGTTCTTCTATGTAGGCCACCTCCCCAAACTTTCTCACCTCGTTCTCAGGTTCTGATAAGTGAATGTGCAGCGAGGCTCCCTCAGAGGCCTGCTTCTCAAGGACAGAGCACATTAGGCTGATTAAATAAAGACAGAGAGTGATTTATAACAGCTCTGTCCCGCTCTATTCATCAGCAGGCTCTTGACTTAATAAAGTATTGATATTTAGATACACAGGAAGCGGGCAGCATTTCAGTGGTGACGGGAGGGTGCAGGGGACCGGCCCCTTAGAGGAGCAGCGCTGCAGCGCTGCAGGGCTGTAAATACATCTCTCTTACTGTAACTCATCTCCACACGGGATAGAGACTGAGACTGAGGGAGTGAATGCTGGGCAGCTCTGATCTCTCCGAATTCAGACATGATGTGAGAGACATGGCATGCATTGTCCCTTTCTTCTAGTGTTGTTTCATAGTACAAATGAGCATGCTACAATTTATTGTTTATTTTATTTTATGTATTGTATTTGTACTTTTTTTCCTGACCATACAGAAAAACATGTTACATTTGGATACATTTGCAATACAACAAAGACAGTGAAATTATATAAGGCCCCGTCCACACCGAGACGCGTTTAGCTGTATACGCATACATTTTGTATAGTATAGGCGTTTCGTCCAGAAGGATCCGGCGTTTTGGGAGACTGAAACCGATATTTTTTTAAACCGGGTCCCAGAGTGGATAAATCTGAAAACGCCGCCCTTACGTTTTCGTGTATATATATATATATATATATATATATATATTTACTGCAGTCATATTTAAATTAAATTAAGTGTAACAATTGTTTTGGCAGAATTTTTGTTACTATTCAGAGCAATAGTGAGTCTAGGCAAATAACTTGAGAATTGACTAGTTCTTATTTTTTAATGGAATGTTCCAGTTATTATTACAAATTATTAATCCGTGCAATTCATAATGGACTAAATCAAGTCACTTTTTTCATTCGAGAAGCCGTTCCACAAAGATATACATCACAAAAGGACAAAAACACAACTGCAATTTTTGTTTCATTCCAGCTTTAAAAGGTGAAGTTGGTTAACTGTAGTTAGCTATTTGAAAAATCATTTAGCTAAACAGATGACATGAAATACTATGCAGGGAATTCTGTAAATGCTATGGAGTGATGAGTGGAAATAGCTGGGAAAGCGACGTTATTTTGAAAACAGCGGAGCTACTGTCACGCTTCTAGGCAATGTACAGTAGTTCATCTTCACTACTTATTAGTTGTCTGAAACATTAAAATGTGCATTTTTTGTAAATTCAAATGCTTGTTATGCAAGCTCGATTTCACGCATTTACGCTTCAAAAAGTGTCTGAATGCAATTCATAATGCATCACAAGTATGCATTCTTAGTGCTTATATCAGGCATTAATGTAAGTCGTCTTCTGCGATTAGTTTTCTCTTTCAGTTGTCTTTTGCCATGGGCAGATCAGTAGTTTGGAGAAAATCTGGCTGAGCACTGTTATTTAAATGATCAACATGTTCGTAGCTAGCTAGCTAATAACACATCTGTTTTAATGGCACAGACATTTGAAGGAAACTCTATCACTCCCTTGAGTACTACTGAGGTTTATTACCGCCACAGTAGAGCAAGAACACACATTAAGTATGTACAAGTACAACAGACCATTTATCTTGCTATACTTGTGTAGAGTATATTTCTGGCCTTAGTCCCCAGTGCCGAAAATGAAATAAACTTTTGTGGGACTTTAAATGAGAGATTTTGTTAGATTTGAACAGGAAAAAAGCTGCAGTGTGAATTATAGAATTAGTGTGTTTTAGCATACTTAGAAAATGTATATACAGTATATATATATATATTACAGAAATAGTATACTTTAAAAGAATATAATTGTGAACAATGTAATTACTTAATTGCCTATTAATTGCAATTAAATGAAAATGGGTGATAGTTAACATTTATATTAATGCAATTCAATTTAGAGTGTTTTTTGACCCACGTAACTAGGACTTAACTACAACTTTTATATGTCATTTCATAATTAATTTCATTGATATACCTGATGAAGGTCATAGGACAAAAACGTTGTTAATAAAGACTTGTGTGTGTGTGCAAGCATTGATAGTGCGTGGGACTTTTGAGTATGTTTTGTATTTGGCCTTGGTTTGGTTTGTTTTCCTACACACCTGTCTATTACTTTCAGGTGTGTGAGGTTAATTGTTAATTGATCATTACTTCTTGTCATTGAAATATGATTAAAGTGTAGTACTGAAATGTACTGGCAAGCATTTATGGTAAACTAAAATATACTTTAACCTCATTTGTATTGAAACATGTCAGTCATGTATTTAAATAAATTTGCAATTGCACATTTGTATGATGAAGTTGCAATTTAGTACATAAAACTTAATATATAACATTGATAACTAAATGTAATATTGAATAACACTACGGTTAAATTTAAAATCAAGTGCTTTAGTAAGTTAGTCAACAAATCAAAGTGTACTTATTAAAGCATGACACGATTATTAAAACATAATGATTTAAAAGTAACTTTAGGCATTATTGCTAAGTGCACTTTTTAAAAGTGTATCCAAGAAGCACAGTCATGAAAATGTACTCTAAGATTTGTTAATATTTCATTAATATTACAGTATTTTTTATGCACTTTTAAGGTTTGAAGTACACTACTACAAGTGCACATTCAGTACAATTAAACACACTTTTTCACGTGGGATCTATGCTATCTGCAAGCTTGATTTCACACATTGTTGTGTTCCGCAGTGTGTCAGTACACACGTTCTTAGTGCTTGTTACTGCAGGTCGATGTCTGTCTTTATGATTCGTTTTCTCTTTGTCTATTTTCGTGGCAGAGCAGAATACTTAATGTTATTTAAACTGTCAACATGTTTATAGCTACCTACCTTTAATGGCTCAAACATTTGAAGGAAACTGTACCACTCCCTTGAGTACTGAGGTTTATTACCGCCACATTAGAGAAAGAATAGACATTAAGTATATACAACAGACACTGTGCTTGTAATGCATCGGACAAATTTATGTGTGAGAGAAAAAACAAACACTAACTGCAGTGTGAATAGTAGCAGTAGCGTGTTGTGTGTGTGCACATCTGTTTTTGACATCTTTGCGTGTTTCTTTACACCGACAGGCTGAAGGCGAGGACAGTCTAAAGAAGATGCAACTGATGGAACTGGCCATTCTTAACGGCACCTACAGAGACGCCAATATCAAATCACGTAAGCCGCCACCTCCTCTCAAGCAAACAGAGACAGTATTGTTGGAGGCCTTTGTACCCGCAGCTCTCAGTAATCCTCTCTCAAGTAACCCTGATTCCCTGATGAATGCTCTGACAAGTGTATCGTTATTGTGATCCAGAATTAGCACATACATCCAAAGAGCAGCTAATGAGCTGAAAGAATAGAGAACATGCACTGCTACCTTTTCTGTGAAAACAATGCTTCCTTAATTGACCGAATGTTGTGACATCCTCCTCTTCGCTTTGCTGCTTCAGTAAATAATACTGAAGCGCTGTAGAACTGCAGGAGTGTGTTGTTTGAATGCACTGGCTCCTCCCCTGCCTTGTTTACTAATGAATAGCTAAATAGCATCGCTGTCATGCTCTGTGTCCAGTGTTTGCCTTTGCATGGTACTAACGGTTTTTGTGTTTTTTTGTCCCGACCCCACCCATCTTCATTCACCCCTACCCTCGCATTTTTCCGCTCACCGCAGCTTCCCTTGCATTCTCTCTTGCAGCGAGCGCCCAGGCACCACGGATCATCACCGGCCCAGCACCTGTCCTGCCGCCCACAGTCTTGCGTACGCCTACGCCCGCAGGGCACACCATTATGCCCCTCATCCGCCAGATCCAGACCGTCATGCCCAACGGCTCGGCCCACCCAGCAGCTGCCACCCTAATGCAGCCTGGTCCGGAGTCGGGCCTGATTTATGCGACGCCCTATGAGTACCCCTACACACTGGCCCCCGCCACCTCCATTCTGGAGTATCCTATCGACTCCAGCGGGGTTTTAGGTAAGCATAGCTACACCTGTCTCACTACACAGACACCCCCCCAGGTCCCAGAACCTCCTTCAGCATGGGCTGTGGACGCTCATCCCTTACATGGCTGTACACTAGGGTTGGGAGTTATGACCATTCATGCCATGTGACATTTTGTAAATGTATCTGTTTTACCTTATTTACATGTGCTATATAGAAATATGGGGTAAAAATACAAAACCTAAAACTGAAGTTGCACTATTTGAAGCAAGTTTGATTGTTTATGGCTGCCGATCAACATCTCAACCTAGCGAAACTCATGCATGGTCAGACTCTGGGGTCTGTACTATCCATTTTATAATATTGCTTTTAAAATTTCAGTGTATTTTAAAATGTTTTGTGCTAGGCTCATATATGAATAATCTGGGGCTGGAATCACAAAAATCTTTTAAAAAGTTACAATTACTTAAGATAAATTCTAAGAAGGTTGTAAGAATATTGAACATTTATGATTACACTGTCGACCCATCCCTTACAACATAACCCACCCTAAAATTTTATAATATTGCTTTTAAAATTTCAGTGTATTTTAAAATGTTTTGTGCTAGGCTCATATATGAATAATCTGGGGCTGGAATCACAAAAATCTTTAAAAAAGTTACAATTACTTAAGATAAATTCTAAGAAGTTTGTAAGAATATTGAACATGTATGATTACACTGTCGACCCATCCCTTACAACATAACCCACCCTAAAAACGTATCCATGCCACCAAACCTGTCCCTAACCTTAACCATCTCATAGCAGCAAAAGTGTTTTGGGTTACACTTAATTTTAATGTGTCTTTATTACAGTGTAATTATACATTTAAGTACTAAGTAAAATTAATTAACTGCATGTACTTACTATATGGTTAGGGTTGGGATTAGGGTTTGGTTTAGGGTTACTTGCATGTTTTGCAATGCTACATGAAAAGAATAAGTACATTGTACTTATTTTTTTAAGTATATAGTAATTAAGGCCACTTAATATAAAGTGGGACCGAACATCCTGAGAAGACAGGCTGTGGTGTCATCTGATTGTATGGTGATTCATACAGAAGACTCAATAATCAACTCAATGAAAAACACCTCAAAGGACATCTTTTGGCACTGCCTGCAGATTACCATAATCATAATAAGCATGCATGCTGTTATTTAACTGGTTTGACTGCCATTCAGCACTTGGTTTTCTAAAGACCCTGTCTCAAGATAGTCAGTTGCATTCATTTGCGCTCCATCTTTCCTGCACTCTCATTAAATATCTTACATTTGAGGGTTTCAAATTCCACAAGAATATTTCACCAAAAATGAAAATTCGCTGAAAATGTATTCACCCTTGTCCCATCTAAGATGCTGATGGGTTTGTTTCTTCAGAACAGATTTGGAGAAATGTAGCATTACGTCACTTTCTCACCAATGGATCCTCTGCAGTGAATGGGTGCCGTCAGAATGAGAGTCCAAACAGCTGATAAAAACCCCACAATAATCCACAATCGATCCACACCACTCCAGTCCATCAGTTAACATCTTGTGAAGTGAAAAGCTGCATGAAACAAATCTATTATTAAGACGCTTTTAACTTCAAATTGTTGCTTCCGGCTAAATTTGAGTCCTCTTATCCACAATATAGCTTTCTCCACTGAAAAAGCCTGAATCAGAAGAGAAATATGCACAGATCAGGCACCGTTTAAAAGTGAAAACAGTCCAAAACGGATCTTAGGACACATTTTGATTTGAGAGGACAACAGGGGATGGGAATTTTTCAATGGAGGAAACCATATTACGGTATTGGACTGGTATTTTGGCCAGAAGTGAAGATTTAAAGATAAAAGGCTTTTATGATGGATTTGTTTCTCAAAAACACACAGCTTTTCACTTCACAAGATGTTAACTGATGGACTGGAGTGTTGATTACTTGTGGATTATTGTGATGTTTTTATCAGCTGTTTGGACTCTCGAAACGGATCTTAGGACACATTTTGATTTGAGAGGACAACAGGGGATGGGAATTTTTCAATGGAGGAAACCATATTACGGTATTGGACTGGTATTTTGGCCAGAAGAGAAGATTTAAAGATAAAAGGCTTTTATGATGGATTTGTTTCTCAAAAACACACAGCTTTTCACTTCACAAGATGTTAACTGATGGACTGGAGTGTTGATTACTTGTGGATTATTGTGATGTTTTTATCAGCTGTTTGGACTCTCATTCTGACGGCACCCATTCACTGCAGAGGATCCATTGGTGAACAAGTGACGTAATGATAAATTTATCCAAATCTGTTCTGATACAGAAACAAACTTGTCTACATCTTGGATAGCCTGAGGATGCATACATTTTTTTAGTAATTTTTATTTTTGGGTGAACTATTTTAAGGAATAGTTTTTTTTTTAAGAACCTTCTTTTCATTAATTCTAATTCTAATGTATGTAAATGCAAAATATTTTTATCATTATTCTTTAGACAAATGTTATTCCTAATAACATTTAGTGAATCCGGCCCCTGATCTTTTTGTTTGCGTACATGAAGTTCCATATAAAAAGAGAAAATATCAACAAGATGAAGTACCTTTCATTTTCATAAAGTATACCATAATATATTGCTGTAACATTATATAAAAAGTCTCATGCTGTATTGTATGATTTGAGTCATACCACCCACCCCTACCCTATGCCATTCCTCTTAAATAGCCCCCAACATACAAATCCTGCCCTCCTACACCAACGAAAAGCCTCTGGTTTCCCCCATTAGGGCCACCAGCATCACCAGCCTCTGCTGTCACTGAAGCAAGTAATAGGCAATAATATAAAAGAGCAAACAACAATGCATCAAGTATTTTCCACTTAATCCATTTAGCGTCATAAAAAGTCCTCCCTCATCACAAAAAAGGGGGGGGAAATCCTTTTAAGAAATGTTTGCATAAATGATTTGTCTTTTAAGTGCTCTACTGGCTTTTTATATGAATAATGAGAGCACTCTCTCTCTCTCAAAAGCCCTGTCCTTTCCACTCCACACAAGCTGTATGGCTTCATTAAAGCACTTGAGAAAAGCCGATTATGAATATCATGTTACCAACAGCATTCTGCCAGTTTAACACTGGCTTCTCCCAAAGGCACGGTGTTAAGTTGAGCAGCGACAAATAGCCCATCCCAATGCCAAGAGCAGCGTGTCCAATTAGAGCAGATGAAGTAGGGTTTAGCTCCTGTCCAATAAGCATGTTTATTGAGCTCGTCTCAAGCAGGATGGTTCGCAGCAAGGATCTTATAGGACTGTACCAGCCTTACACTGTCTGTGGGTGGATGTTTCTGGGGTGGAGGGTAGGTCGCTACAACACGTTCACACATACAGCGGTTTGCAGCAACTAGAAGTCAGTTATTTACAGTGACAGTTGGTGATTTCCAGCGACGTGATTGACAGCAACTGGTGTGGGTGTGTCCAGCGATACAGCAACGTTGAGAAAAGTTCATCTTTATGCAAATGAGCAGTGATGTGAGGCACAAGATTGAGACATAAATGTTACCAGTTCCCTAGTGAAAAATAAACTAAAATACATTTTAAATACATTTACTTCATGCTAAGTATACTACAAATACATTTACGTAGTTACTGTATGCACTGCTGAAATTTAAAAACCTTGCCAAATAATAATGCCAACTTATTTTTACAGCCAGTAAATTGCATTTGTGATTAACTTTTTTTAGAAGCTATGGACACCCCACCAGAACCATTAAGAATTTCCCAGTTTATAATATTACATTTAGATTTTAACAAAAAAGAAAATGTGTGTGCCAGACTTTTAATGAATATTCTGGGGCTGGATTCGCAAAACTCTTCTTAGATTAGAAGTTAAGAAAGTGACAGGCTGTGGTGTTTTCTGATTGTGATCACGATTCTTGCAGAAGATTCAATGAAAAACCTGCTTTTGGTGCTGATTACCATAATAATCATAATAACCGTGCACATTATTTTTTTTTTCTCATTTGGTTAATTAAGGCAGAACCAGTGAAGCAGAGCCACTGGCAGCCTCCAGTGATATAATCGTTGTGTGTGTGAATGTCCCGTAACAGATAGGATGTTTTGGGGGTGGGAGAGCTGAGGGGAGGTTTTCACCCTGTCTTCTCTCTTGTGTGACCTATACAGCATCCTCAAAGGCCGAAGAGCTGCCCCTCTACCTGGGCTTTCAGACCTGTCACATTCCCATCACAGTCCAGCGTGGAGAGCCAACCGGTCGGCCTCCCTTTTAAAGTGCCCCCTCTCTCCCCCGCCCCCTCCGACAAGCCCCTCCCCTCACACCGCAGACACGCCCCCCCTGCCCCGCCTCCCTCTTATCGGACTGGCTGGACTCCCCGGCCTCTTTAATTCTGTCTGTTTCATTGAATCATGGTTTTTGTTTTTCTGTTGTTGTTTTTTTGGTTTTGTACTTTTGTTTTTATCTGTAATGTGATGTTTTAGTTTTTTATGTGTTCAATGATGAGGGAGACAAAGCACTGAGCCCCAAACTGCTGCACAAGCCTTTCTGGATGACCCCCATCCCTCAATCTGAGCGGGCTGCATCAGGGTGAGGGGCAACATGAGGATGGTGAGGGGACAGTGGGGCTCAAATATGGAGGGAAACTATTTGAGATGGGGCATCTGTTGAAAGCCAGGTTGTTCATCGAGCAGTTTTAGGACAGTTTGATGCACTATGGTGGGGCATTTTGGCTTAAAATCTAAAATGGCATAGTCACAATCAAACAGTGAGGATATTGGCTTATGATATTTTTTACAGAGTTATCAAAGCCTTTTAACAACATTTTTGCAACCCAAAACCCAAAGTGTTGATATGAAGTGCATAAACCATCTGAATTCAGTCATATGTACTGAATGGAAAGTTTTCATCAAACCCTACACATGTACAAATCTTTTTCTCACTTCTGTTTTGCAAAGAAATAAGCAATTATAATAGTATTGCACTGCAGTATTACAGCTCTAGTAAAAGTATTTAGAGTTAAAATGCTAAGAATTATTCAAAAAGAAAAAAGCTAAATCAAAACACCCATATGTAATGACAATATGGGAAATTATGCTTAATTGTCTTACTTTGCAAAATATCTTAATACAAAGAAAAGCTTTATTTTATTGTATAAGCATCAAATATTTGTCTTTTGATTTTTGGTTGAAATATTGATCCAGACATACACAACCATTCAAACGTTGGGGGTCAGTAAGATTTTTATTTTATTTTTTAAAGAAATTTCTTTAAATAAATTGCAACAAAAGTGACAGCAAAAACATTTATCGTGTTACAAAAGGTTTCGGTTTCAAATAAATGCTGTTCTCTATTAATCAAAAAAAAAAAAATCCTGAAAACGAACATTTTAAGCAGCACAACTGTTTTCAGCATTGATAATTATAAAAACTGTTTTGTTTGTTATTCGAACAATTTCTAAAGCATCAAGACACCGAAGACTGTAGTAATGATTCTGAAAGTTCTGTATACACTCTAAAAAAATGCTGGGTTGTTTCAACCCAATGTTGGGTCAAATATGGACTAACCCAACTGTTGGGTTAAATTTTGGTTACATTTTTAAATGAGCAACAGTTGGGTTAGTCCATATTTGACCCAACATTGGGTTGAAACAACCCAGCATTTTTTAGAGTGTATCATCACAGGAATAAATGACAATGTTACTGTTTTTATCATATTTGTGATCAAATAAATGTAGCAAGCATAGGCTACTTTTTTCAAAAACATTACAAATTTATTGCGATTCTCCCAGTGCCATCGCCTCACCAACTGTCCTAAAACGTGCTCCGTCTGACTACGGTGTGTGTTGTTTCCCCGAGGACCGTCAGTCCTGCCACTAATTTCCCCTTCCCTTCCTTTATTCCCCACGAAAGGCTAAATGCGTTTCCCAGGATCCTCACTGAGCCCCTCATCCGATCTGAGTGTTAACATTCACACGCTTTCGTTTCACAGCTGCCTTGTTGGTTTTGAGTGATGTTTGTTCAGAGCATGAATCTGGCCTAGCAGTCAGTCAGACACACTCCTGTTCATTTACACTGGCTATTCCCAGAGCCCACAGCGGCTGTACTTGTAATGCCATGCGTATGCTTCCATACTCCCACATATTTCCCCTGGACTGTGCGGCTGACTGCTACGCCATTGTTCTGCTTTACTAATCACTTAATTCATTGCCATACATTTCTATTCTCCTTTTTTTGTACTCCAGCAGATGTGCCTAAATGTTGTTCTCTCTCAGAGAGTGACTTTATCAGTATTATATTTAAAGACACTGTCGCTCCAGCGCACGATTACGTGACTAGTAAAGCTTCCCGCTGAGAGTGTGCACTCCTGTCTGTCATACTGTATCCAAGCTACGCAAAAACCCACGGATCCACTGAGGATAAATGAAACCATGTTTGAATTTTGTACAAACACGTGTTGAGATATTTACATATGGGGGGGAAAAAGTATTATTTGTGCCTTAACTTGTATAATTTAAATGATTTGCGTTTGTCAAACACATTCGGGATGATTTGGAGACTGTGAGGTTTGACTGATCTGTTTTCTGGTGATGTTATTGCAATCCAAGCAGGTGCAGTGACAACTAAAGTTCGAAGGCACGAAATGCGCGTCCATCCTTACCAAAGGGTAGTGACCGCAGACAGAGGTTAGTTTAGTTCATGTGCTTCTACTCATTACCAGTAGCAACTCACTGTTGGTCCTGATCTGTTGTGAAGCATGTGCAGTTCAGTACACCTTGCTGTTTAATATGGTGTGTTTGTTTTAAACCCTTCAGTTCACACACACACACACACACACACACACACGTGGTCTTTCCTGCGCAGGTGGAGTGGTTGACTTCATTCCATTATTTTGATGACCTTATGATTTCAGCATGATGTTGATGACAAATAATGGAGCTTTATTCACCCCATTACGCTCAATAGTTTTCTCTAGTTATGCAAACACTAAACAGGCTTTTTATATATTGACTCTTGAAACATTTGGGAGTCATTTGAAAAGATCATGAATGTGTCCTTTCAAAATGAGCTAAAGTGACTGTTTGTAATTACATGTAGTGTGGATATACAAATCAAAATCCCAGCGATAGCTATAATGTGTGTTAAAATCCACATTCACTATCAATAGGTTATAGGCTTTTCAAAACAGAAAAATGCCATTTGGAGATCTTTAAAGCTGAAGTGTATAATTTTGTCAGTGTTAAAATATATGCAGTCATTAGTATTAAGCCATTTGTAGGTTGATACATTGCTACAGCTACATTGACATGATCAATGACAGTATAAAAACAGACATTATTTTATGCAGTTCTGTTTTATTACACTAGAAATTAGACACTTTGGCTTTAAAGAATGGAAATTGTGCCTTCACTAAATCTGTGTCACTATCAACAAGTGTAATACGTAATTGGAATATTTTTTGGAGACAGCCTGATTAATTAAACCATTTTAATGTTTATTAATTAATTGGTTAAGGTGTATTTAAATATTGATGTTGTCTTCTAATGCAGATGTGATTGGCAGTTATGAAAATCTGAATAGTATGCAGTCTTGTATGACATATAGTATGATATTTTCTGTACCACCAACTGACCTAATTGAAGTGCATTTTGTGATGTCAATTAGTTATTAAAAAAATATAAAACCTTTTTGTGAATGGTGAATGGTCTGATGAATGGAGACCATTAGTAAAAAGGGCATATTTATGTCATAAAAAGATACAACTTATGTATTCAGATTAAACATTTGAATATAAAGTTGACTTGACAAATTAATACAAATGTAAAAATATTTGGTTTGTCCGCAAGTCTATGTAAAACCTGATCATGTTCTCCAGCGTGATTTTAAAAGCACCTTAAGCTTCAGTCTTTCATAACATTTCTTCTCTTAGCCAAAATTATTTCTAGGTTTAAATTAGATTTTGAATTTGATTCTCATTTTGTCCCCACCACATGTTCAAAATAATCACAAAAATCACGAATGATTACTTTAATGAGTACATTAAGATGCGTAATGATTTGACAAAGCATCCATGGTGCAATAATCACCTCATCACTATGAAACAATTACAAAATCAACTCTCAGTATTGCCAAAACCCTCTAATATTTCCCTGTCCACATGCATCTAGTTGCATATAAATTCAGCTTGCGCAGGTTAGACATTGTGTATTTGTGTGTATGCGTGTGTTACTGTTACAGCTGTTTGCTTAAGCTGGCAAAATGACCACAGATATCAAGCAGATCAGATACTGAGTTTGCTTCCTCTCCTTTAATGTTTTGTTTTTCATATCCTTTTTGTGCTAAACATGTTTTTATATAACGGAACTACTGCTTTGAAGAAAATCTACTTTTGAGAACCCATTTGCACAGAGCTTCCAGATTTCCAGTCTGTGCATTTGTACTGGACCACACGAATCACTTTTTTATTTCAGCTGTTTACTTATTTTATTATTATTATTATTTTTATTATTTCCATCTGTCAATATTTGCCTCATTTGATAAAGAGATTCTATGTGGCACAAGCCTTTTATTTTGCACTGAATACGTCAGAAACCTTCATCTCCTCTGCTCTTCACGAGTAGACATGTTGAAAAAAGTGAAACCGACATCAAACCTCAGACCATGAACCTGAAACGAATCTGTCGAGTCTTACGGTTGACCACTGCCGAGTGGACGATAATGTCGGCGCCACTCTGTGGATGTGATCGTGTCAGAGTATAAATGCATTTAAGAAAAGAAAAAAACAACAACTCCACTTGATGCATACATTTTTTTATGTTTTACTGTAAGCTTCTTTTTATTTCTGTTGTCAAAAAGAAAATAGTATTTACTTGTGGCTTTTAAAATATATATAAAATATATATATCTAAAAAAATATATAAAGCAGGAATGTATATGAATTGTCAAATTGTACTTGTATTTTGGAAGAGATAGCAATGGTATTATAGAGGGCTATTTGTAGGAAAGAAAAATATGCATCATAGCAGCTTTATAGCACCATGTTTGAAAATTTCCTATATTTTTGGATATATGTTAGGGCTTTATATATGAATGACAGGACTTTTTCAATGTTTATATGCAAAAGCATTTTATATTATGTGTCCTGTGATTTGTCAGTAGTCTGGTAATGGCTAAAAGTCCCACAGCTTGAATTTCCATGGCTATTATGCTAGAAAATTCCTTGTAGTGTTGCTTTGTATCATTAAGGCCAAGATTTTGATGTTGTTGTAAATAGAAGAAAAAAGAATTTCAAAAGGCAATAAACATTTTTATTGAGTAAAAAAAAAAAACACCAGCAGTTGTTCTGGCCCTAAATTATTTCTGACTCAATTCTTACTAAGAAAAACATTGATCTTCCATTTCCATCATAACTCTCGGCTTAATGCTGGAACCTCTTAAGAGCTCTAGTGCTTAATAGCAGTCAGGTAGCACTGTGACCTTCACTGACTGTCCTCTCCTCTCATTTCATTAGCAGCTGCCTCTCTCACGGTCGGTCACACTAGACTCGCTGCTCCCATTCATTCAGCATATGCTTGGAAGTTCTCTCTTTTACTATGAAGTTTAGGGTCGGT